CGGAATATCGACGTTGAAAATTTGCAATTATTATTCGGTTTAATAGAGGTATATAATTACTTTTACACGTATATCGATGTTATCTAGAAGTTTTTAAAAGAACATTAAGTACAAAGTAAAAATATCCTTCTCGATAAGCTTTATTATCCTCCATTTTCAAAAACCCCTAGAAGTGGATTGGACAAATGTGAAGAAAGTCTAGGGGATTTCACGGTGTTCGAACTTGATTCCTTGAAATATCTCTAGAGATGGATTCCGGAGAGTGAAACGAAGGGGCGTGATCGTGATTTCGTTTTAACTGGATTAACGTTGAAACTCGTGCCGCGATGGGTGAAAGATTTCTCGTAAGAGTGATCTGAGCGTGGATTAATTTCCTGAAAGAGGAGAAAGCGGCAGGCGCGGTGATTCCGTGGCTGGTCGCGCATTGCACGCCAACCTTAATTTTCCGAAAGCCGATAAGGCTTTAAGGAGGTTTTCGCCAAGATCGCGATCTCGCCGTCACGAGAACTGCCTCGCTTCGGGACGAGAACGCCCCCCTTTTTTCGTTATCCTCGAGAAAAATCGCTGGGCGAAAAATAGAATCGATTCTTTTACATTTTAAATTTTTATTCCAATCATCTTTTCCGAGGGAAATTTCGAAAATTCGTTCAATTTGTCGTCTTCGTTGTCAATTCTTTTTTTTTTTTTTAATCGAAAATGATCGAATTGGCGTTCGTAATTTTAATTGTACTTGTTCAAATATTATTGTGGGGAAATATTCGATGAATATAGATCTCGTAATTCTTTGGAAAAATCGTTAGGAGAAATATATTTAGTTCCAGTAATATTTTATAACGTCGTAAATTTTGAAAATAAATTTAATATCATAACGTCATTGTTTTCCTATTTTTTTAAAATTCCAATAACAGCTCAAGACGTTAATTCGTGTCATTTATGTCACGTTTAAAATTAAGAATTCGTTCACATTAAAAATTTTCGTTCACGCTAAAATAATACAAAATTTTTTACATGAAACGTTATTACAGCACAATATCCAATATATCGCGGATCAAAATAATCCCCTGCCTCGTACTTCCATGTTATTTTACAACTAGCTAAAAATACGCTTGAACTTATGAACTGACCTCATAGCAAAGGATCAAAAATAGTGAAATAGCGTCGAGCAACGCGCTCGTTCGATTTCTCTCCTTCCTGCAAAATTTATTTCTCGTTTCCCTCCCCCTCCTACCCACCCGGTTCGTGATATTTCACCACTCGAAGCCTTCAATTTCGAAACAATGACGACAGAGAAAGTTCCTGCAGAAAACCATGTGGCGAGATTCGAAATAGGGCGAGAGCCTGCCTTCTATTCGCGATGCAAATCGATTTGTCGATTATTCGATTCCTTCCCCCCCTCATCCCTCGCGTTCTCGAGCCCGAGGCATTGTCACTACGGACCTGCCTTATCGACATTATGCTGATTTCCCAAGTGGATCGCGTCGAAGCGACTCGTCGTAAGAAATTCGATGAAAAATAAGGGACAAACGACGCTTTTCCACCAAGCTGAAATCTCGCTTACGGACGATCGTTGTTCTTTCAACGCGTATATACGCTCTCTCCTCCTTCTCTTTTCTTTTTTTTTTTTTCCTTATTTCTTTACCATGGCTTCTCCAAGGGAAATTTAATTTTTTTCTAAAACGGAAGTGGAAAATGAAGTAATGTAAAACATCGTAAACATCAAGATAGTGGTAATAAGATAAATTTGAAAGTTTGTTGGAAAATTATTCGAAGCTTTGTGAATAGTTAGAGAAAAGTTTTCTATATATTTAGAAAAAAAAATTTATAACTTTATATTGTGCATCGTGATTATGAATTATCGTTTTTCTCGGAAAATTTTGATCGATTACATTTTGTATTCACGCACAACGCGTATGATGTACGCGCACAGTTCATCTATTTTAATAAATTTCTGTATCGAGTCGATAAATTTTGCGATTAACATCTGTTTTTTCCTTTAAATAATCCGTCATTTTGAAATGACGAATTGATTTCCGCCCGGTGAACGTGAATCGAGAGAGATTGAAAGGCTTTGCGCCGGTCGGAACAAGTCATCTGGAGAATTATCCACGCAGAAATATTGTTTAATAACGTTCAGCGATACGGTTTATTGTTTACTATGACACGTACATCGAGTTCTATCGGTTGCGTTCATTCTCGTCGAATTTTCCTCGTTGATTGCGGGGAGGAGAAAATAATCGTTGGTTAAAATAATTTTTCTTCGGGGAGTAAGGATGTTTCAAATTTTTAACGATGACGATGGAAAAAAGAGAGAAAGGAGAAGAATAAAAATTTCAGGACGAAAGTGGGTAGGAAGTAGGAGATTAAAATATTCAAAAGTTCAAAATGCATGTTTCTAAAAATTCCACTGCATAATTTATAAACTTGCAGGAAAACTTCTAGGACTCGAATCTTCCGGTCGAATGAGTTTGTCCCAAGAATTTTTCGCCAAACAAATTCCCATTTCTCCTTTCGATCGAGATTTTTTAATATAAAAATTCTCAATCAGTCGAAAGTATTGAATATCTTTCGCGTGACTATTGGTCATCCAATATCCAATTAACTTCCTTCAATAATTTTTATTGATCGTTAAGCTTAAACTTATCCCAAAATTTCCACCGTCGAGGATCCGAAACGATTTCGAAATCTTTCGCAAATCTCAAAACTCGGCCCCAATCCTCGATTAAAACCAAACAGCTCCTCCCCCTAAACCACCCCTCGATTAATTAATGAGAAATGGTGGCTCTCGATTATTCGAGAGGAATTCTCCACAGGGCAATTCAATTTTCTTCCATCGATTCGATTACAGTGGAACGAGTTACGATGTTTCTTGAGAGAGGGATGAAGACAGAGGAAACAAGCTCCTCTCCCCCTACCTGTATTACGCGGGGAATACGATAACTTTGCACTCTATCCACCCCCTCCTTTCGCGTTTCTTCGAGAGCAGAGGCCGTATTTGATTTGACTTTAATACGATTTCTCAGCGATGGCGACAGTCTGGATACACGTAACCGCTCCTGGCAGAAACGAGAGGGGACCGAGACGAGAGGAAGTTGATTATCCATCCACGTCTCTGTCTCTCTCTTTCTCTCTTCCCTCTCTGCCTGAAATTAATTTCCTCGGGTGAGAAACACGTTTCGTTTTCGAATCGAAGCACAGACTCAATTTATTTATCTTTTGAAAATTATTGAGTTTTCGAATCCTTCGAATTCGAAAGAATTAAATATAATTATCGTTAAAATTTAATTTAGTTCAGGTTTGTTCAAAATTTGATTCAAGTGTACGACAGGTTATAAGTCTCTCTCTCTCTCTTTCTCTCTCTCTCTTTCTGTGAAAAGGTTGAAATGAGTTATGGTTCAGGGAAATTAAAGTCAGGAATTAAGGGCGTATAAAGATTCGAGGATATATTATATTTCTCCGACAGTATCAACGAAGGTGTGAGCGTGTCAGCATCATATATTTTACAATCAATAAGAGTAAGAATTTCCCTCGAAGATTCATAGCCCATCTCGATGCTTTTCCAATTTATTTTTTTTTCTTCTTCTTTTTCCTCTTATCGAACGTTTCTATTCAAAGCGATTGCACACGACGAATGGCACACACGAGCACACACGGCACATACACACACAAACACACACACCTGATTATTCGATACCGTCTCAAAATCATCCTTTCCCATCATCCCAGTGTTTCTAACCTCCTTTATGTCATATCTTTAATTTTCTTTTTCTCGTACACGCACCTCTCGGTACAAAGCAAGAGTCTTTAATATGATATGACGATGACCATGATGACATGACACGATATGATATGATATGATAATGAGATGATTAATGTGACCATGACCATGATTTCTTACCATGATTTTATATTTACTTATTTGTTGCACGTTGTTTGGTGCGTCTCCGTAAGCAGTATGACGCGCTCGCAGACTCTCTGGCAAACCGACATTTCGGCAAATATCGTGCTTTTTATCCGTCTCCATCCGTATTTATGAACGAGTGCTCTCCTTCGCCGCCCTTCTTACATCTCTCCCTCTTCGTGATAACGCGAATAACAACATTTCCCCTTACCTTTAAAGTAAAATCTTAATCGCTTTGAGAAAAAAATTTGTTGAAAATTTAAATTTAGAAGAAAAAGAAAAAGGATTATTTTTCAAATATTGAGCATCGCTTGAGAACTTTTTGCTCATCGTCGCCGATGAAAACTCATCCGGTTTATTGTTTCCACGAATTTCGTAAAGACGTAGGGAGGACCATGATGGGACGCGCGCCGAAAGAAATTCCGCAAAACTTTTCGTTTCGCCCCTCGAGGCAGCGTCTCGAGAGTGGATCTCGAGAATTAATTAGCGGCAGACGGCCATTGTACGGCGAGAGATTCGAGAAATAAACGGAAGAATAGGTTTAAGAGTTGAAAAAGACGAGGACCGAAAGATGAAAGAGGGGGCCGAGAAACGCGAAAAGAAACTCGAAAGAATCTCTCGTATTTCGTTCGCGTATAGTTGAATGAAAAGTCGGTCGAATCGGCACGAATTCGATTTAAATACGCGTGGAAAGGTTTCCCACGCGAGTTGCACGCGGAGCACCCCCACGAAAAATGCACTCGTTGGCCTCGAAGGCCGTTTCAAAAAAAATCGCCTTTTCCTCTCACCTCTTCTTTCTTTCTTTCTTTCTTTCGATATCTTACCCTCCTAATATTATCACTACTATTATTATATTTTCTATTCTCCCTTGTTTAACATCTTCACCTTTTATTTTATTATTTTCTTTCTTTCCTTTTCTTTTTTTTCTTTCTTTCTTTCTTTTTTTTTTTTTTAATTCGTATTAATAGACACGAATGAAAATTTTGTACAAGCGTTACAAGAAAAGCACGAAATGTCGGGCCTGCCAGTCGGCTGTTTGCCGAGCGCTGGCAGTCTGTAAGTTGAGTTTAATGCATGTTGTTTTGTCTGTCCTTGCATGCAGGGATTCGGTTTTGTAACATTCGCAAATAGTGCTGACGCGGACCGGGCACGTGAGAGGCTACACGGCACCGTGGTTGAGGGCAGAAAGATTGAGGTGTGCATGAACATTCTTATACTTATATATATATATACATACATATATATATGTATACATTCGCCATTAATTCATTTATATACACGTGTTGTACTTATTTTTGCAGGTGCACAGCGGGAAGCGCGGACGAGCGACTCTGCACGCTCGTTCGCGCTACTCGCTCAGATAATATATTATTTCAAATTAATCAACAGGCGACCAGCGATTGCTTCTATCGATCTTCTTTATTTATTTATTTATTTATTTACTTATTTATTTATTTATTTATTTATTTCCCCCTCCTTTTCTTTCTCGTAGCTAACAATACTACAATGTCGAACGCTGCTTCTAATTGAATTTCTAAAAACGTTGGTCGCCTATTTGAGATACTTGAATCTTAGATATTTAAGCAAATCGCGGGGATCTCGTGCTCGTAAATAATTTTTCTTTTTTTTCTAATTTAATATCCATCCATATTAAAATTCTTGGAATTTTTCGAAGGTATGCATACATTTCTCTAACGATGACAAGTTTTTTTACCAGCACGAGCTACGCGACTAATTTTAAGCAAGAAAAACGGTTCCGATCGACAGACACGCTTGCGCCTCTCGAGCGAGAAAAATCCCACTGTTTCGAACACTGTTTTTCGGAGCAGAGAGTTTTCGAATTTTCGCGGAGCCACGGAGTCCCTCTTTCCGGTTATTTATCGGTTATTTTATCGCGGTGGTTAATCGAGGGATAATTGCGGGGACAGGGAAGGATAGATAGATTGGGGAGCGCATTCTGGGTCAATCCGGATCGAGCACTCGAGGACTCGAGTGCCATCGATCGATTGGTACTTGGAGTGTGTCGAGAGATTCGCGATCCTGACTCCTGTCGAGTCACTCGATCACACTCCATTTTTTGGGGACTCTAAATGATCTACAATATGATCCATACCGTCCGGATCGTTTTAAAAATATAGATATAGATCAAATTTAAATTCCAATCCCTTTTTAACCATCAATTATTTGAGACTCGTTGAAACGATATTTTTCCTAAAAAAAAAAAAAAATTACAAATTTCTTTCGTGCATATATGGACGAATGGCTCCGTAAAAAATAAGTGGCGAGGATCGTGGCAATGGCGCGATTCAAGGATCGCGTGATCAATTCAAATTCAAAAACGAGTCGAATATTCGGAATATCGATCGACGATCCCCTCTCCCTTTCAATAGTTTAATCGTTATTGATCGAAACGTGATGTCTGGCACAATGTCGATATCCGGCAATAGCAACTTAATCTGATTGGATAATGCGATTAATCGAGCGAACGAAACGTTGCTTCGAACGCGTTGGCACACCGGCGTGGCCAGAATCACTGTTGCGTCACCGTTCCTTTATGAGCCAACTTATTTATAGACGAATCAACTTCTGTGTAAATTGATTTATAGAAATTCGCGCGCGTACAAAAATTCGAATTATGATATCGTTTTTCTCGATATATTTATACGATATATTTATATTTCGCGATTACACGTGTCTTACGATTCTCTCTTTTTTTTTATTTTTTCCTTCTTTTTTTTTTTTTTTTTTTTTTTTTTTT